TCTGGGAGTTGAAGTCCACCCATCTTAAACTTGCCAAAGTTGAGAAACACTGCTCTAGTTAAACAGCAGCTAAGAGATGTGTGTGAATCCTGTCTTTTGCTGTCCATGGATCACTCCAGCCTTCTGTGGTCTTTTTCAACCCTGAGGAAGGCACGACCAAGGAAGGCATCCTATGGGGCTTTTTCAAGTGGGGAAGTGGGAGCAACTAAGAAGGCTACCAAGGGCTGGGAGGATGTGGAAGAGAAGAGGACACCACTATCTCCATCAACAAAGTAAGCTCAGAAGCAAGCAAAAGAAAAATTGGAAAAGATTTCTTAAGCTTGTTGTGAATAGAGCTGAAGAACAAAAACATCTCTAGCCGGAGAGGAAAACGTCTTGAGAAATTGCAAGGCAGATATTGGAACAGCATTAACAGATCTCACTGGATGATCATGGGCTTTTGTAGGACATGTTTTTCAAAACACCACCTGTTGCTTTTGAGATCCAGAAGTACCAGGAGAAGGCCAACATGAGCTCTTCTGATCACTGCAAAAGCAGGACCCTTATCCTGTCCACAGTGGTAATCATCTCTTCACACTCCTCATTAATATGTGCTAGTTTTATTGATGTTCACAAGCTTAAAAGGGGGGAAACCCCAAAATTTCAAAAGGTTTCTGCCATTCTGTACCGCTCCAAATCGAACTGGTAAGCATGTTGAAATGGAAAGAAGGAGAAACCCCCTCCAGTTTCAGAACCTGATTTTCATGCATCCTGTTATGCATCCTTTCCTTTAAGCCTTTCCAATATTTATCTTTCTTTTTGGTATTTTTTAAGCATCAGTAGTGGCTTTGCTTCTAAACCGCCGCAGCAATTGACTTATTCCTTCCCACCTGGACAGCAGAAGGAAGGGAACAGATGCTTGGAGAAGGAGATCCAAATTAAGCATCACTAAAATAAGTAAATAAACACAGGTGATATTCCCCTCCGCCAGCATGGAGAAAGCTGCTTTGCTTTCTCCCATCTTGGCTCTGCTTTGGAACAAACATTTTGGGAGTCCAGGATGGAGGCCATTTTTTGCACTTCATCTTTGGTGATTCTGGCACACCGTTGTGTAGCTGGGGATTGGGAGTTGGAAGCAGCAGGTACACACAGGCGGGGGGGGGGGGGGGG